CCACGCATCCATCCACCCACCCAATAACTGGCTAACTCACCCGCCCAGTGTTTCAGTAACGCGCTCCGGCGCCGTGCCGGGACACGCCGCACCGTCATGTCGTGACGCAGCCCATGCCACCAACAAAAGCGAACGGGAGACGGACCACCTGGCGCTATCCCAGAAGTTTGCAGGCGCTCAGAGCGACACACACAATGGCTCGCTCCTCCTTTTTATTGCCTCTCACTCACTTACTACCCCCCCACCTCTCCCACGACGGTACAAACTTTGTTCGAGAGAAAAAAGTGCATTGATTTACGCATATTTCTTATTATACACGAGGAGTGGTACATGCCACGGTTATATCTGCCAGTCAATGGTAACGGTCATTTGGGTTTCCGTTAATATGCAGGAGAAATTATTAAACTTGTTTGAATCCAAACCGCTCTGTTTCTACGCGAATACGTTGAACAACTTTCATGTTCTCCGAGAAAGAATGACGTACCTTTAGGAGGCACGACCGGCCTTGTGTGCATTGATTAATGCGACGTTTGTACAATAACCTCACAGTTAGTAGAGCTGTCTGATTAAACGGAATCAGTAGCACATAAAACACTCCAACTTCAAACGTTCGTACTCGAATTGTAAATGTTGTGGGTTTACTCTCCAACACACCGGTGTGCTAAACTAGTAACGAATCGGCAAGTTTTGTTTACGTGACAAACTTTACCAATTGGCTGTGTAGGGTGGTGGCCGGTTTAACGACGCATTTATATTTACAAAATCTAACCCACAAAAAAACCCCATATTATGGATAACTTCAAACCTAATCAGCCTAAATGCATTCATTCGACAATATAAAGACGATGTAAAAATGATTAACCCATTCTAGATTTAAAGCTTTCGTGACTGCAAGGATCCATACTCTTTGGTTCTATTCGGTAAAGTCACGTAGGTAAAAAATAAAACAACAAAAATCACGACGTTTCGGTCACAACACAAGCGGCCTTCATCAGGTGAAGGGACCAGGCTGTCTCGAGGACAGCGCTGGAGTGAAACACAGCCACGCTCAGACCGCGACCTTTAAGCTATGTGCGAGGAAACAAGGTGCCTTGACAAAGGAATTAGCATAAAAATTAGCATTTGATCAGGTAAACTCCCCCTCCCCCCCGCGCCAACCGGCTTGTTCACCCGCATGTACACCACCTCTACACCGTTCATCATGCTAAGTCGGCCAATCAAATGCTAATTTTTATGCTAATTCCTTTGTCAAGGCACCTTGTTTCCTCGCACACAGCTTAAAGGTCGCGGTCTGAGCGTGGCTGTGTTTCACTCCAGCGCTGTCCTCGAGACAGCCTGGTCCCTTCACCTGATGAAGGCCGCTTGTGTTGTGGCCGAAACGTCGTGATTTTTGTTTTATTTTTTACCTACGTGACTTTACCGAATAGAACCAAAGATTAACCCATTCTCGCACGTCGGATATATTTTTCGGACGGACAAATGCTTTTTTTATTCTTTCCGTGGATTTCCTTCTCCAAAATGTGTATCCGGATAAACTGCACTTACTTGAATAACTGTGTGAATTTGAAAGCTTGTGAAGTGTAACTTTTTTTAATGGACACACAAACATTCCCATCTTGTAGAGGTGCACATGCATAAAGCAGACACTAGGAGGCAGGGTTTGTAGGTTACATCTATCGTTTCCGGTACAGGATTCCCTCATTAATTCTAGATTTGAAGCTTTCGTGACTGCAAGGATCCATACTATTTGGTTCTATTCGGTAAAGTCACGTAGCTAAAAAATAACAATCTTAAAGGACGCGACCTGGGCTTGGCTGTTTTCACTCCAACGCTGTCCTCATGACAGCACAGTCCCTTCACCTGATGAAGGCCACTTGTGTTGTGGCCGAAACGTCTTGATTTTTGTTATTTTATTTTTTACCTACGTGACTTTACCGAATAGAACCAAAGAGTATTCCCTCATTACTCGCGAGGGAGACGCTCGCGGAAATACTCGCGAATAGCGAAATTCGCGAAAAATCTTCTTTCATATCCATAAATAGCAGCGGATTAAAGATGTCATTTTAGATTTGTTATCCACTCAATTGTCTGTTCAGAAACCGAGTGAATCTTGTCTGTTCCTCCTTCAAAGGAGTGAAACAGCAGCGAAGGAGTGTTTACCACGTAGTCGATGGTTTTGGGATTCGTGGCCGCACTTGCAGGCCCCTGAATCTTTGACGCGTATCGGCCATGCCCGGTCCAAGATTCGGTTCATGGTCGACCATTGGCGGCGTGGAAGGTGGAAACCACGAACATTGATCTTTTTAATTAATTACCTTAAATGAATACACAAATTAGCTATTAAATACATCAAAATTATCACAACACGAAAATGGTGACAATAAACAAAGTAACTAAAATAAATATATATAAAGTATTAAATAATAGTTTTGAAATTAACTTACCTTAAATTATGACGCTACTTCCCAGTAGCATCATGATGCTACGCAGTAGCACCATCATCACTTTGTCTCATCACTTTCTCGTATCACATTCTCTCTCATCACTTTATTTCTTTCTCTCTCTCTCTGCGGTCGTGCAGCGTTTCAGATGCGACTTGTGGAGAACCAAAATCAAATCGCGGATAGCAAGTTCGTGCATAACGTGGGAATACTGTACACGCCCATCGGATGTGCTTAGAGGAGCCTATAGGCAGCAGAAGAGCAAGTAGGTTACTCCCCGACTTGCACAGCGCTCGCGCGTTACCCCCCCCCCTTCATATTCGCGTGTTTACTCTGAGATCGTCCGATTGCCTCCCGCGCGGTGACGAACACGGTACGGTGAACCGGTAAACATGCCACGATGGGCCACCCTGAAAACGAGTCCTTAGCTTCCACAAGGTTTCTCTGGAAAACAAAATTATTTAACACATCTCTTGTTCTTTTAATGACATAATTTGCTCTTCATTGAAAGCGTGTGGTTGTTTTTTTTCCGTATCATGTTTACTTGTAGGTCCCATTAGGATGATAACAACACAGAGTCGATTCATCAAAATGTAGCCAGCCCACTGCATCAGAGGCAAAAACTCACAATACAATGGGAACTTGTTATGGCATAATAATATACGCACAGTTGCACAAATGGCCAGCATGCAACCCATGTCATTAAGTTCATATAATAGCTGGGCGGTGGTGGTGCACGACTGTAATAAAGCACTGCAAAGGAGAGGGTTGGTGGATCGCAGCGCAAATGTTGCAGAACTTCCTTCTCATGAGCATCGATGTCTGGCAAAAATGTGGAATCCGCTTGTTCTATCTCTATGGGATACAGTGTTTCCCCCTCGCACGTGTGGATTTTCTCCGGATGCTCCGGTCTCCTCCCACGTGTGAATGCTCATTAATTGGCTGATAACACATTAATATATATAGAGGACCACAGAGCTTGGGCAATTGTTGGTGCCGGCTCATTGCGTGGATGCCTTCCCGCTTTTCGGTGGTTCCTCGCGCCTCTGAGTCACACTCTCTCTCTACTTGAGTGAGCGAATACTGTGCGGCACGTTGCAATTTGATATTATATATGATAACAATGAAAATTATTGTACAATAAATGCATTTGTCGAATCACTGCTGCATGAAGGCATCCCCACGTCCCTTGCAGGTCGTGGGGGGTTATTTGGCCGTACTCTACCATGATGTTAGCCATGGCCAGGAATCAAACTCAGATCACAGGATTGATAGCACACTTTGCTAACCATTGCATCAGCACTTCCTCCTGAACCGCTCCCCCCCCCCCCCTCGTATGAAGCTACGTGTCAAGCAGCATCAATTCCTACAAGGGACGAAACTTTGCCAATTGCATTGGATTCTTGATGGGGGGCGGTAATTGCAGCTACACAGATTTCCCTGCTACAATTACACCCTTCACTCACTGGTGTCAATTGCCAACGCTTCATCAATTATTAACAGGGCTTATATGCTAATGCATTTCAGCAAAGTTTATACTTTACTAAGCTTTAATCAATGCGACTCTTCACAAAAGGCTGAAAAGGATAGTTTGAACACTTAGAACGTTACAGGGGGACATCGCATCGGCCAAATTTGTGAGACGTTTAACTTCGTAACAGCTCTCCGGTGTTTCCCGTTTGGACCGCGTGGTTGTTCGGCACGACGTCCGACGTTTCGCTCCGCGAGGTTGAAGCTCCTTAAGGAAGCTCGTTCAACAGTTGAAGAACCTCCCAACACGTGGAGCAAAACGTCAGACACCATACCAAGCAGGATGCACCGCAACACGACAACACATCTGAGAGCTACACAGTCCAAGCGCAAACACCCATGCAGCAGAATATTTATAACGTTAACAATGATATCCAAAACAGGATGAACCCTTCTGTTTCTCGCTGGGCACGGTCGTGTAGACCAACAGTGCAGTATAAGCCAGCGCTTCGGTCGCAACAGTTGGTTGGATAATGTGGATTTGTGGATCTCATGAAGCTGCTGAGCTGTGGGGCGAGAGGCTGGCAGCAGAGCAAAAGGATTTGTGAATCTGTCTTGTTCGGACCCTTGAAGTGGTAGACCTCTAACGTGCAAACACACTCCTTGAAATATAAGATGATAAACATTCCAACTGCAGGATCATCTTGATCGAGCAACTGGGACTTGTTGAAAACTCACTGGATACATAAATATGAAAATAAATTACACGTGTTTTTTGCATATTTCGTAAAGTTTTGCTTTCATTCAGATTTAACTTCCAGCCCAGCATAACCACTAAACTCTTTTTTTTAAATCCACTTTAGCACATCCCACGGTAATTAAATTGTCCATTTACAAACACCTCCAATTTTAACAGCAGCAGAATATCCTTTTGAAAAGAACGCCACAGATCAATCCGGCTCGAGTCCGTTCGGCACGCAAAGGGCTGCACGGATTTGCACAAATGCCTTTTAATTCTATCGGCATGCACACAGGGCCCCTCCCACTGTAAAGTGAGCTTCGGCGGGGCTGTGCATGTGTGCGTGCGTGGGGAGCGGTAGTGTAGCGGTTAGCGCGCTGCGCTATGAAGCCGGCGACCCAAGTTCGACACCAGTGACGATTATCTGAACCGGTCCCGGGCCTCCCCGCGGTCGACTTGGTCTCAAATGAGGTGTGTAAACATCGCCACTGGGGAGACAAAGGCGGTCGGGGCGTGGTGCTGGCCACCCACCCCCTCGTGTACCGTTCTGGCCTTCATAGGTGCTGCTCGCTAACAGCACTTGCCCCTACAATCTGTTAAGACTATATATTAGGGATATTTTTGTGCGTGTGTGTGCATGTAGTGCAGTGGTTTGTAAACATCGCCACTGGAGAGACAAAGGCGGCCGGGGCCCGGTGCTGGCCACCCCACCCCCTCGTGTGCCGTTCTGGCCTTCATAGGTGCGACTCGCTAACAGCAATTGCCCCAACAGTCTGTTAAGGCTAAACGGGAGATCTTTGTCTTCTGTGTGCGTGCGTGAGCACGTGTGCGCCGAATGCATTTTGTTGGCACCGACGGCAGGACTGACGCCTTTGCCTGCGGCACAGCGACTTGGCGCTGTCAAACATGGACACGCAGGCACGCACGTACTTCTTGTTTGCTCATCGCAGTGTCAACCGTCGAGAGAGAGAGAGAGAAGGGGAGCGAATCGAGCGGGGGAGCGATCGAGCGCACCTCTGCCGTGACGCTGTGGGCTGCCGGTCCGTTTCTCCAAACGGAAAAGCATCTAACCGCGCCCTATTCATTAAGGACGGTTCAACGTTGCGCCAATCGATTTGTTGAATTAATCGTTCACAAGAGGTAACTGTGAACGTGGTGCAAACTGCGATTTTTTTTCTTGTTTTATTTTTCGACTGGTTTTTTTTGGTTGTTTACACTCCGGCACGCTCGCAACACGCGACGAAGCTGGCGACACAAGGCGGCGCGCAATTATTTTTTGCTCGGCGCTGAAATAGGCAGAAACATCACCAAACAAAAAAAATCCCGCTCACTCAAAAGCGGCCCCGCGTCCGTCCGAGCAGGGGGGGGGCCTCCGGGAGGCGATCGCAAATCAATGGGGGCCCGTAACCGATCCCCGCTGGTTTAGCGAGCAGCCGCGCGGGAACGCTACGTCGGCAGACCGGCTCGCACAAAAAAAAACGTAATCGCGGCCGCGAGTGTTTTTGCACAAAGGGAATCATTCTGGGCCGCTTGCAATTTTGGCTCCGACGTCGATCTCATCCCTTGTACGACGTCTATCCATCGCCGCCACCGCTGCGGTGTTAAACTTCGAAAACCGTTTAATTTCTCGACGCGTTTGTTAAACAGCGCCACATTTAGGCGATACGTTAAACATTTGGATTTACGTGGGGTGTAACTGCGACCGCGTCTCCAGATGCTCGGTAGAGACTGGGCATGTGTTTGTAGGATAGAGAAGCTGCCAGCCATAGAGGTTAAGAAAATTATTCTCATCAAAAGCCTCACATGGCTACCGTTATAAACTGTAGAGTTTTTCCACTCTTTGCAGTTTCTGGGTTTCAATAAAAAACATTGGAGGAAATCCACAACTTATTTTCACAACGGAATTGTGTCCTACGACCAGCATCGTCTGCCATGTCCAATGCATTTCGTGTACAGTAGTGTTCTAATCAGAACTGTATTAGACCGTCCGTAATTTCACCTTAAAAATGCAATGCATCCTAAAGTAATGTATTTGACAAGCTAAACGTTAACTTTCATCCTGCTCGCGAGTAGCATATATTTGATGTAAAACTCCTACCTTGGGCAATATGGTGCATAAAGGAGGCAGTACAGCTATTATGATAATATCTAATAATGTATCATATTCCTCTGTATGCATCGACTTTCTCTGGTCATCCTCACAAATAAGCAACTCTCCAGAAATAAAAATGGCCAAATATGCCAAGTAGGACTCTACTGAAAATAAGTCTCGTTCTTACGATCGCTGGGTACACAGACGCACGTTTCCACGTACACTCACGCCCTACGTGCATATGCGGGTACATCAACCAGTGGGTCAGGATTTCCACTGCATGTTTGCCATGTTTAACAATAATAATAAATAAAAACAAATATAAATGGCTTTTCCACTGCGCAATTGCAGTTTCAGAATAATTTCCCCAGCACTAAAAAAAAACACTGCCTCGGTGTTTCCAGTCCTCCCATTTGGGGCTCAGGACAAGAAAGGACATGGCGACCGGCTCTCAATGTGACTTTAGGAGAGAGCCGTTCTCCGAGGGTGCCCTCTGAATTATAGATGAGGGGATCCATTACCCCTCTGTGGGGCTTCGCAGAGGCTCGGCAGAGGCTCGGCAGAGCCGGGCCCCCTGGCCCAGCGTTGGAGATCGCGCCACACAGGGCCATTTTCTGGGATATTCACAAGGGTGTCCCGGGTCGAAGGACGAGAAGTAAAAAAGAACAAAGAATAGCTGCAGGAATTATGCTACGTTATACTGATACAGGTGGCGAATAAAGTAACTTCGTGTGTGTGTTGAACTTCTTTCGCAGGTGTTTAATAACATTCCATTAATGGATACGTAAAGCCCTTTTGTCAATCCAATGCTGGATGAGGGTCTCCCCATGCCGTGCGGGTTATAGAAGTTATTTGACCACATTTCACGCTGGTCAGTGTGGGTTGGTGAAGAAGGGGTAGGAGGACAGACACTGGAGAATACTCAAACGATTGATTTTGCTTCACTGCCATCTGCTTACAACGTAGCCCCACGGAAGCCTACAACACCTGCCTTTTACACGTGGTGGTTGCACTTCGAAGCACTATCCAGGCTCAAATCTGCTTCGCTTCCGAGATCTGATGCGATCGGGCACATTTCGGGCGGTTTGGCCATCCGAAAATTCAATGAATATCAACGTTTTGGTTTGGATCGCGGTGCAAGGATTCGGGCACTGTACTACGTACCTGGAAATGAGAGTTTGATTCCTGGCCATGGCTAACATCAGTTGTGAGTGACATCTGACGCAGTCAGGGGCACCACTTCCCTAACCCACACCAAGCAGCATGGTGAAATATGGTCAAACATGGCCGATGCTGCGGGGGCGGAGGCCTTCATCCAGCAGTGGACTGACAACGGGCTGTTAATTTAGATTTTAGTTTAGAACTCACCTTACACTGCATTTTGTAAGTAAACATTTTAGATACGATGAATGTGCTGAATTTCATGTTATTTTTGATCAATATTTTCCACCAGAGAACCATGACCACATCACCCAGAATGTACGCAGCCTTGTCGAATTTCAAATCTAAGCATGGTTGAGCAAGGATAGCGCTTGGATGGGCAACCACCATGCGTAACAGGTGTTATAGGCTACGGGGCCACATGGCCAGGTGGGGGGGGGGAAGGTGGACCATCAGATTGCCGTGAAGTAATATCAATTGCTGAACCGTAGTTCTATGCTCCCATGTCTATGCTGTCTGCCTTCACCAACCCGCGCTGACCGGCGTGGTGAAGTATGGTCGATTGACCCCTACAACCCACACGGTGTCAGGAGGCCCTCATCCGGAAATGGATTGACGAAAGAGCCTTACGTGTACATTTTTCCCGAGGTCTCAACTGGGAAAAAAAGAGCTGTCATCTCGTACGGGTTCTCACAATTTTAAATACACTCTTGAGCGATGTGTATGCTTCTTACCATTTAACTATGGAGTCGCCATGCAAGGTGGGTGTTATTTTGTTGACAACTACAAAGAGCCCGAAGTCAAGATACAGTACGTTGTGTCTTTTTTATTGCAACATCCATCAATTTAAGCCCTTTAGAGCCAAGATATATAAACCGTGTGTGTGTGTGTCATTATGAAAAGATAGAAAGCATATAATTCCACAGAAAGACCCGCCCAATCACACTTGTATATTAAGTTTGTTTTTCTCCATTATGACCTTAAGTACCATGTTTCTGAAATGGTTCATTTATTTCAAACAAAACTTTGTTATTTCTGCATTCAAATGCTTCCATGAACCCGAGTCATGAGGTGAGCGATTACTCCGAAAACCGCATTGCATCGGGGTTTTTTACATTTTATTTTTGCTCGTCCACAGGCAAAAAAAAATACATTTTTATTTTCAACGGATAACGACTAAAGATTGTTTTTATCAAACTCTCTTCAAGCCGCCGTTGCCACATAGTCCAAAAGTGCGCCACAGAGATTGCGAGTTGGCCATCTAATTTCTGCGAAAGTGTGCCGCTGTTTTTTTGTTTTGTTCGGCCTCACGACCCACGTGTTGATTAATCGGTAACAAGCAAACAACTTGGTGCACCCTTCGGTAAACAGCCAACAAGAGCACGCACACAACAAAATGCCACCTCAGTTTCACGGCGTGTGACGGTGGCAATGCACGGCTGTCTGTGTTACCCCCTCGTATGTTTTCTCCAAGCACTCAAGTTCTCTCCCACAACTATTTTTTTCAATGACAAAAATCCAAAACAGACCGCTTTTAAACCAAAGAGTCTTGCTTTACAAAAAACGAGGCCATTCAGCATAAACAAATTCATATTTATTCATTGATTCATTTCCCACTACCTCTAAACGCTTTCATTATCTTTGATTCACATAAATCGTTCTTGGAGGGGACTTGGGACACGCCAGATGAAGCGAGTCATCGAGTCTGGAGGAATGAGCCGGGAGAAGGGGTGCCCCCCTTCGAGCATCGTACCGGCGCCGACTCGACGCCACGAGGCCCAGTTGTCGTGTCCGATGTGCTCAGCTGCCGGGTCCCTCCCTGCTTCCTCTCTCTCCCCCCACTCCGTAAACCCCGCCACCCCTGCAACTCCTAATGCAATTACTGTGCCATCAGCGAGCCGCTAGCCCGGCCTGTGACGGACGGCTGCGGTAATTTAGCCGCGGGCTGCCCAGGCGGGTATGAACAGGAGGAACTTCAAAATCGATACCAACGCCCGTCGGAAAAAGACGAGTTTTGTTCAATGCACCTGGGGGTGTGCAGGCGGGCAAGCTCGCTGGCAGGCCATGCAAACTCCACGGCCTCTTTCGCTTTCTCTCTCACCCTTCCACACTCTTCTTTTTAGCCAACATAGGCAAGTTTTTACAAAAACGAATAAATGCCCCCAACGGATTCGCAAGCTCCCCGCGTAATCAAATAAGGGACACAATTGAGTTATTTCATTCTTTGACCAATGTAATCAATCGACCGCGATTTTGTTTTCATTCTCGTAACCCGAGGTCGGAAGGTTGAGCCCTTACCCGTGCCCTCTCCTCGTCAAACTCCAAGCAGGCCATGCCGTCCAACCTCTGCAGGTCCACCCAGCCCCTCCAGATCACGCACACACCGTTCAGGATCATAGGCGCCTTCAGGTGAACCTGCACACAAACGGAGGTGGGAATGCTATCAGGGAACGCCCAAACACCGGGAGGAGAAAGACGGCAGCGATTGCAGGAGGCAGCACGTTTCCATCGTGCGTGGGAGAAAAGCTTTCCCTTCCAAAACCTGCAGAGCCAACACATGGATCATGCAACGGGCAATCCAATGAAATGTCACAATTCATGGCCGCAATTTGATTAAAGGATTAGTAACTTTTTTTATCACCGTGTTAAATTTAGCGGCCGCTCATTGCTACCAGGGTCATGTGAACTCGTCATATACAACATATACTGACAAAAAAAGTATTCATAGGCACGCAATTTGACGCACGTATCTTGAACTAAAAAATCCTTATTAATTGATCAATCAATGCATCATTGCACCCCGGGAATATGTTAGCCAAAGCAAGCATTCTTCGGGTTCATTAGTTCAAATCATGTACATAAAAACGAATATGTGACAAGCATGTTAAGAGATTGTGGAGTTTTCTTTTTATCTATCACTTTCTCACTTAGAAACCTCAATGAGTGATTTTCCTACCAAATAGATTCAGGCCCAAGTCAGCAATCGGTGCATGGTTCACTAACCTTGCCACGACATGGAAGTTCGTTCATTTATTTTCATAGCAATTACGGTAATTCAGAGAGTTTGGGGGTTAATGGAGCATTGTGGGCATTTGTCACGTCAAACAGAAGGTTAAATTGCTCGGAACTTGGAAAGGTTCACTTGGGGCAAAAAAATCTGCTTGGCGCAGTTTGCAGTTTGCATTTTGTTCCTCCATTTTACGCGAGTACCTTTTAAATCAAAGTTCTACCTCTAACTGAAATTTCAAGAGAATATTAAGTGTTTTTTTCTCTCTCTCTCAACTGTCCTGATTTTTCCATGGGCGGTCATTGTGCCACCAACTCTACTCGCGGTACCGCTTCGGAACGCAACAAAAAAACCAACGAGAAACGTAGCCGTATAGAAGGGTACTTACAGTAGCGGGCGGACGCCACTTAAGGAATTAAAGAATTCTTTACTGTAAATCCCCCCAAGGAGAATAAAAGAGAGAGGAAAAAATATATAAAGATGAAAAAAATCAAGAACAGCCAATCTCTTGTAATAACTAAGCCTCTTTCCGAGGAAAGAAATTTCTGAACTCCCTTAAGTTGTGCCAAGTCGAAATCAAAGTTTGCCAGCAGACTGCCCTTTATGGGCCCAGGTTGGCAGAAGAACCGTCGAGAGGCGGGCTTGGGTGAGGAAGGGCGGTGGGTGGCGGGGGATGGCTGTGGTGGAAGGGGGGGGTCAGTGTTTGTGTGGGACTGAAGGCAAAAGCGGACAGGGAGGCGGTAGCCGCCACCGAACGAGGAGGCTGACGTCAAAGCAACCGTTTAGCCGCAAGGCTTCTCCCTCCCCCCCCACGTGACCGTCAGGATATCGAGGTCCAAAACGGATTCCAGGAGCTAAAACAACGCTGTCAGTGAACGTGCTGCTGCCGGCGTGTTCACCAACAGAAACTAAGCCTGCGCTTTTTCGCCACGGCCACTACTTTTAGAGGCCCAATCTGTCCGCTCGTGTAGCAGCAGCAGCAGCAACAACTGCAAGAGAGAGGAGACGGCAAGGAAGGGCGAAAGTTTGGTCGTGAGGGCGGGCAGACGAGCAGGCGGGCGGGCGGGCGAGAGGGAGGGTGAGCGACGCCGCCCAGCAGACGGAAATTAAAACTCAGGCGACACAGCTCCTTGGCAGCGGCCACGCGTCAGTTTTGAAGCGTCCTTTCATCATGGAGTTTGCCAGGCCACCATTGCCCGCAGCCTCGTCGTACACTCTTCCCCGCCGATGCTTTCATTGCAAACAGATTGCAAGGGCGCCGCGGTGGCGAGATGTTAACGACCTCGCCTGATATACGGGAGTTCCTGGGTTCGATTCCGACCTGACGCGATATACGGGAGTTCGTGGGTTCGATTCCGACCTGACGCCTAAATATTTGGAGTTTGCATATTCTCCCTGTGGTCGTGTGGATTTTCTCCGGGGAAAAAAAAACGAAATCCCTCCACATTTAGAAACGTGCGTTTAGAGTATTTGGCTACTGCTATACATTTCAACGTGATAAGCCACTTCTTTGAGCTATCATTTGTAGCCAGGTCGCTTCTGAAAAAGAGCTATAGAGCTCAGTGGGGCCCTTACCTGGTAAAATAAAAAAAAATTGTTTAGTTAGAGTTTAGTTTCAGATCTCTGGGAAGGGCTGAGCTCTGTTATTGAACATCGGCAGCCACAACGTTTACACTTAAATTCTCCCGTCGTGGGAGGAGTGTGCCCACTTGTTTGGTTGTACAAAGCACCCAACGCATATTTGTGCTGTATTGAGTTTACGCAAAGCTTATGTATGCATGCAAATTAGTTAATGTCCCGATTTGATTCGATGATTGCGCGTATAATAATTTGATACTATTTATTTACCGGCAAGAGTTTTACGCAGGCTGAAGGCTCATTTTCAAGAGGGCCGCCTACACTGGAAAGTTTCACATATGAGTGTTTGGCATGTAGGAGAAAACCCAACAAATATTAGGGGATAACACACAAAGCTTCAAATAGATGGAGTAAGAAATCCATTGCTGTACTGCAAACTCCTCGCCATCTGAAAGCCAAAGTCAGCAACATCTGGTATTTCCAGGGAGTCTTCCTCCCAAGTTACTTACTTAAAAAATCCGACAAGATCAGGAAGGATCAGGGCGATTCAGTCATAGGTATGTACATGCACATGCGTGTACAACTACAAGTACTGAGCATGGAAATATAATGCATACCTTTGTTCGTGTGTGTACTTAATGCATTGTTTGGATGCAAATTAATATATCTTAAATGATCGCACAGCAAGTCATTGTATACACTTTTATGATCACTGTGTCGTTCTGGAAGACGTGCATCATTTTGAGAAACTGGTCCACGTCACAGAGACTCCTCTGAGTGACATGGACCAGCATTTTGAACCATTGGCTCAGGACCACTAACGGAGATACCCAACCATTCAAGGCTCATTGAAGCGGATAGACGTCTTTCGACACAAATATACTGGAGCGGATTAGCCTCAGTTGCTGCCCCCCTCAATCTATCCCTGCAAGCCCAGCAAGCCGGACGCGGTAACTAACATTTGCGTGTAATTAATGCCCGTCATCCATTTCATGAGCGAGTGCAGGCATGGGTTTTTTTTCCCCTATTTACATATTCGGTTGTTGGTGTTGGCGTTAGCCAAGCCAATTGGCGCCACGGTTACTCCAAATTCACAGTTCTCAGAAGCAGACTTTCCAGCAGTGAGCGTCGGTGACTGTGTAGTACTGATGAGTCCTAACAAAGACAAAACCGGTTCACACTTGTCCAACACATGCGTCACTGCTGCCTGTCAATCGGTCACATTCGCTCAACCAAAAGTTGTCGGCGACCAACGACAAGAGGACCACAATGCACTTCTTCAGGAAAGGCCGATGCTTTTTTGCACAATGCACAAAGGCCAAGTGCCTTTCTCACGTGAGTGCGTGTTGCTTGAAACTGCGGGCGCAGGCGTGGAGAGGGAGAGGTCTGCTGTTACTTGGAGGCGTCAGCCCAACTTGGCTCGCTCGCACATTAACCCCTTCTAGCTGCAATCCTTTAAATGCACGGATATAAAACACAATTATGCCAAGATATGTTTCAGCCTGCATGCAACCCCTCTTCTGGATACCGGAATTCGAGTTGGTGGCTCATGTGGAGACCTTATCCGGCTCATGCGTGCATTACGCCCGCATCTGCGTGGCAGCAATGTGCTTGCAGAAGGCAGTTTGGTAAGTAGGTTGCTACCCTTAAGCCACGTGTGTGGTGTGCGAGTGTTATCACCTTGCACCCATGGGCTTTGGCTAAAAAGTCCCACTTCCTCCCACATCCAAAATTACTCGAAAGGCAATCGGTGAATATGTAAATAGGGAACGTGACCCTCCTGGAAAAAGTCTTGGGACTCGGTGAGTCTTGCTTGGGAAAGGGAAGGAAATATAAAAGAAAATCTTAAATTGTTTTGCAGGGTCGTTTCTTTATCAAGAAAAGCTTTATTGAGTCTCAAGATTGTCTGAGCAATTCCTATTTGATGAGTCCTTGCATTGCATATGGGAGTAAATTGGAGAACTTGGGAGAAAACGCATTCATATAATAGGATAATATTGAGAAGTTCGCACAGATGGGTTAAAAAAACCCACTTGATGTTCTGCTGTCTCCTGGCCACATCACAGCCCAACACGGGTTTGGGACACATTCTATGGGTCTTTCGGTAAAGCCACGTAGATAGAAAAATAATAAAAATATCACGACGTTTCGATCGCAACACAAGCAATCATCTTCACAAATCTGTTTGATCAACGAAACCTTGCTTTCAGAGTGCTGGATCACACGACCATGCGCCACCATACCTAACTCTCCATCGTATATTATCATAATAAAATAAGTGCGTAAACACACATACAAATAGACAAAGGCAGCCGTATAGACTAGCGGGGCAGTGCCACCTATTTAGGGCAACATTGTACGAGGGAGAGGTTTTGCCAGCAATGCATCCGGCCCAGTACCTCGAACGGTGGTTATAAACCACAACAGTTACTCGTTTAAGGCTGAGTTGGCCGTGGGGAGACGCATAATATGTTCTGATGCTACATTGTTGCCGATGTTAGCCATTCCTGGAAATTTAACCCGGACGGCTGGGGTTCACAGTTCAGATCGCAAACCTATGCACGGCCACTCCCCAAATACGCAAAAAGGTTACAAACACGCACATGGGTACGTGTGTGTGCGAGTGCGAGTGCACACACGCACGCACTCCGTTAAATTTCACACGGACGCTTGAGCGGTCTGGCCGGGCCTTGCGTCCGGCCCGGCAGCTCGATCCGCGATCGCACGGGGGAGGAGTGGGGGTTATCAAACGCAGCCACATGGATTCTCTCCATCCATCGTGCACGAAGCCACGGGACCTCCGGGGGCACCGTCCGCCCGCCACCGCCGCCGTAGCCACCGGCGTCGTTACTTGGCAGCGGGACGCGAGCTCCGGCACAATCTGCGATTTCCGCTCGACTCGCAAGGCGTCTCGCTCACCGCAAAATATCTCCCCCTGCGAAAAAGCGGCTTTCTCGAAGGCGGAGGAAACGTTGGCCAGCCCACCGTGGATGGCAAAAGACGGCGGGGCCCGGGGGTAAACGCTCGCTCACACTGAACAACGAGCAAGGTTCACGACATTGCGAGGTCCATGTTAGAGCACCGAGCTGCATTTATACTAATAATCTCTTTGTCTCTCATCGTTCCTGAGTGTTGGTGACCTCGACGATGAAGCTAAGCCACTCTGTAATTTTGGGCTTTGCTGTAATACTGCTAATACCGTCCTCCCTACTATGTTTACAACACTGTCTTGCCCATCTTAATTCACTCTTTACCCCTGTTCCTTTTTCTGTCCACTTTACCAAGGCGTTCCCCATCACACCCCACCTTAGTGTTTTACTCACGATATTAATGATTGTTAAATGCAAGTTCCCGTGTGCTTTTATTGATGCAATTCACCTACTGATATACTTTCGCAGTCAATTGGATAGATAGCCTGCCACGAGTGAATGTGCAACCACCAGACAAGGTTGAAGATTGGGCAAGGCAATTTAAGGTTATAAAATGGCTGCGTGCATTTGAATCTCAAAATGCAGATTGCAGTGGTTTGCTGTTTTGAATGGGAGCACAGCAATAAAACGTGCAATGGGTAACTCGGGCTACCCAAGGAATGACACACAATTACACACGTATACATTAAAACTGGTAAACAAGAGATGCATGCGTCTAGCCTAATGATTGCATGACGTGATCGAAAGTTGTGTTTGAGTCACCATTCTGAGATGCACAAAGTCTTATTTGTTCGTCCCTGTGACCGTATAAACCCATGGCCATTGACTTAAGTCTCTGGGTCTCTGTGTGAATCTGTAGGATTTCTGTGCGAGTCCATGGGCATCAGTCTGCGGGAGTGAATTCCAAGTGGCCGGAATAGCACCAGAGAAGCGACGTTCGCCATGCCTCGTGTGTGACAAGGAGTGCACTTGAGGCGATTGCGAGACGGATCGTACGGTGAGATGATGGAAGCTAAAGAGGCTGGTTCACCACCCAGTGTGTGCGCATGTGCCTGTGCGTGTGCTTTGAGGGGAGCGGTCGTGTAACGGTTAGCGCTCTACACGACGAATCCCGGTTGCCCAAGTTCGATTCCCGCTCACGGCCAAGACCAGTAACGATGATCTGAACTGATCAAGGGCCTCCCCCTCGGTCGATTCAGCCTCAAATGAGTACCTGGTGCAGTGTGTAATCATCGCCACTGGGGAGACAAAGCCGGCCGGGCGTGGTGTTGGCCACCCCCAATCCCTCGTGTGCCGTTCTGGGCCTTCATAGGTACTCACTAACAGCACTTGCCCCAACATTGTGTTACAGGCTATTGCACACACGAGCACAGTATTTCTTAAATTTTTCAGTACAACCAACCTAACATCAATGCACTTATTCTCATACACAATTTGTACATACGATTGCAACTACTGGACACCTGTGAAAAATAGCTTCATAGCTAATCGGATTCCTCCAGCGTAAATGAATATTCTGACTCTGAAAATGCAAACTCTCCACCGCCCAGTAATTTTTGGATGGTGCGTTAAATTTTTGTTTTGACTTACACGTACAGTATATCTGTTAAATAAACACAGGGTCGTGGTGGTGTGAATTAGGAAAACCTTGTACAGTCGTTGCTTTAAAAGGAATAAGTCACTCCGTTCTGTGACCTTTCCCGGAGACGACATCGGTTTAAGTTCTCACACTGCTGCAGTACTATATATAATTCACACACTTGCATACATAATAAACACACCATTGCTCCAGTCTATATGTCACATATTAAATTTTACGTTATACGCATTGCTACCGGATTAGATTAAACCCACTCAAGTGAAATCAATACGTTTAAATAAAAAAAACACTATCTGAATAAAACCAAACGTCGTATTTATGATCTTGTTATTGCAGAGGTTTAACCCACACTTATTTTGCTTCTTTCCAGCAGATAACCGTGTGGTTAGTGTGGTAAAGGGCGTGCGGTTGTTGAACAAAACAGTTTTAATTATCAACCACTGACTGGCACAAGTCGCTCACAACAATCCAGCGTATTGGCGATATCAATCCACACAGCCACCAACTACAGGCAACTCTCAGTTATCTGGTGTAAGTGGAGGGTGGGGGGTGAAGGGGTGGCCCAGATAAAACAACTCGAATCATGCAAAACACATGTAAATTAGGCTGAAACGTATATCATTATTTTTACACAGAATGGGAGTACAGACGCCACCAGGAGTGTCCCGTCTCGTTTTTCAAACTTTGTAAAGTCATCGTTTCAGCTGTAGGCGTTTGGGTTCACCGACCCTTAACAAGACAGGAGCTGTAAATAATGATACCGGCGTGCATAGAGATGTTATTAAAAAAAAATTCCCAAACACATATTTCAATCTGGATCATCCACCCGCAGATGACGGAGAGTTGACCATATGTGTAGAGTGAGAGTTGACCATGTGTGGAGTGAGAGTTGACCATGTGTAGAGTGAAAGTTGACCATGTGTGGAGTGAAAGTTGACCATGTGTGGAGTAAGAGTTGACCATGTGTGGAGTAAGAGTTGACCATGTGTGGAGTGAGAGTTGACCATGTGTGGAGTAAGAGTTGACCATATGTGTAGAGTAAGAGTTGACCATATGTGTGGAGTAAGAGTTGACCATGTGTGGAGTAAGAGTTGACCATGTGTGGAGTAAGAGTTGACCATATGTGTAGAGTAAGAGTTGACCATATGTGTAGAGTGAAAGTTGACCATGTGTGGAGTGAGAGTTGACCATATGTGTGGAGTAAGAGTTGACCATATGTGTGGAGTGAAAGTTGACCATATGTGTGGAGTAAGAGTTGACCATGTGTGGAGTGAGAGTTGACCATGTGTGTGGAGTGAGAATTGACCATATGTGTAGAGTGAAAGTTGACCATATGTGTAGAGTGAGAGTTGACCATGTGTGGAGTGAGAGTTGACCATATGTGTGGAGTAAGAGTTGACCATATGTGTGCGATGTGGAGTAATGTACCAGGCTGGTTTAGAAGTGGCTTATGCAAGTACTGCCCTGTAAAACAATCTCACCATCCATTGTGAATGCTGCTCCTGTGTGACTTGCACAGCTTCTCCCACGCGAAAATTAAACGTGTACTTTGGACTCAATTGTGATAACAGGTAAAGCCAATTATTTCATTTCCAACGTGATAACATTCTTTTCTTTCAATGGAAGCCGGTGGCGCAGTTGTTAGTGCACTGCACAATCAACCCAGCCACCTGAGTTTGATTCCTGGTCAAGGATGTCATGTGCGAAATTATATCTGTACCGGTCCTGTGCCGGGCCCCATTCAACAAACCCGCACCAACCAGCAAGACGGTGAATTATTTATTTACCGACTAATTATCACGGTTTAATACCCCCGTAGATAAACTAAAGTGTTTATTTCACTGGGCCTACCTTTGCCTACCACAAAGTCCACCAATAACCCTACCACCATTGATAAAATTAGAGCGTCAGATTTTCTTATCACTTGCACGGTTAAACTTTCATTTAAGACACAGATTGCATTCACTCTAAACAGAAGCATTTGAGGGCCACTGAACATACAATGGGCTGTTTCTTTTGCAAGGGATACCTGGGGTACGAGAGGACATTCGAAATATTTACTCAAGGGAGGGATCTGACACGCACTTTTTGATTGGCTGCCTCCATTGGCTTTCCACGAGGACGTTGTTTCATCGCCGCATCAGGCAGATATTGTTACTGTTTTATTTTTGATGTGTCGAATTTACATCATAGACACGAATGTGTATGAAGGCATTAACAGTCACAGCGTGCCAGACTCGGGCACCTTTAGGGTTTGTAGGTTTCAAACGTTTACACCCAAAACTCAGAAATCCAGCACTGATGGGGGGGGGGGGGGTATAGAAGCAGGAACGCACCTAGTGTCGCCTTGCAACTATTAGCTGTGATAAATTTTCCAATTAATCGTGCGTACACATGAATCATTTGGTGGGACCCCGGGGTCCCGCAAAAATCAGGTCAATAATTATTATTTTTCAGTCCGCCCACTCGTGATCCCGACAGCAACGCGCCGCCCGCCCAGACTCGCGCCAACAAGCGCCAGCAGCAGCAGGCGGCGATCGACACGATGGGCGCCACCCCACCGGCCAAACGCAAGCCCGTGGGGGCGTCCGCCGCAGTCGCGCGCGGCGACGACGCCCTCCGGTCAGCCGTCGATCCTCAGCTTCTTTGCCAAGGCGAGCCCGCCCCCCAAGCGGTGAATTTAACGTGTTTATGTAATTTTTCAACTTTTTACGAAACTTAATGCCCCGAGTAGCTCTCGACGAGGCCAATCGATTGACCACCACTAGTTTTGTTGTTGTCGGTAAGGCAACAAGACTCGTGTCGCTACGCGGTTTTTCCCACCCCGGGGCAGTGATGGGACCCCGGGGTCCTGCCAATTGCTTCAATTAACAGTGGCAACCAAAGGTACACTCTAATAATTAACTAGCCTTTTGCCCGTCCAAGTACGGGTGTATTGCAGTAGATTTGAAACTTGCAAGCGAAAATGAGACCATGACGTGATATTCATTGCATCAATTTGTGTGCAATTTGTAAGGCCGCGGTGACACAGCCTTATTTCATTTAAAGGTTATAATCCCTTGTTCATCGTGACGTCCTTTTTACTTCTATGTCTCAACAACGACGCCACGGAGATCACTTGACGTGATGGTTCTGCCTTTGTCGTGAGGTTTGTAAGTTGACAATGAGGGGAGGAGGCGCCTCGCCCCCCCGCCCCCCCCTTGTGGAATGACGTCACCCGCTAATTATTATTAATGTGGGGTTGGTGTCCATTTGGAGGACATCACCTGTTCATGATTATTAATGAGGGGAGATGTTCGATGTAGTGACGTCACCTGCTCATAATTATTAATTGGGGGGGGGGGGGGGTTCTCCATGCGGAGTGACGCCACCCGCTCATGATTATTAATGAGGGGCGGGTCTATCTGGAGGACGTAACCTGTTCATGATTATTAATGAGGGGGGCTGGTCGACGTGGAGTGCCGTCACGCGCATTACACACTGACATTCTTGGGTAAATATAGTAGTAAATGGAATCGTATTTACCCAACCTTGATACAAGTTGAAGAATGGTTTGCTTTCAGGAACGGCACCACGGATAAGCAGCAACCAACGCACCGAGATTTACACCTAGACTAAGATGCCATCTTTTTCACAGAGGTGAAATTACGTGGCACGTGCTGCTAAGCGAGCGCCTATTAAGGCGAGCACATTTAAGCAGCGCAACCGTGGAGACAAACGCAGAGCTGCTCAGCCACGTACATCTTCACATTGCTGATGCTCTTCTCACTGTAACAGGTCCTCGTTTTAGGCTGAGCTGGCCGAAAAGAGACGCAGAACAGGTGGACAATGGGTGTGCATAGACAAGAATGAAACCGGGGCGATTGAGATTAGCGGTTCAGCGAGCTAGCCGCTCTACGTTGCTCCACGTGTGAAAGGTGGACGCGATTCTGAAATTATAAATATCGGATTATGTTAATGTGCAATAATTATTTTTCAATTTTAGGGTCATCCTCCGTAGAAATGCACAAGATGCAAAATTGACATTTCCCGGATCTTTTAAAATGTAATACACGACGGTAATTGTTAAATAAATAACTGTAGTACGGACAATATAAACAACATTGAGGTTAGCTATGGATGTAGGAAACATAAAAGTGGAATGCATTATTTTTGCCAGGAAATGTCGAATAACTCATGATAATTATCGTAATTTTTGGACACTTGATTGCAGTTAGTTTGGAGGGTAGTGTAATTACAAGCCACGGCTTGACGTGTTTCGTATCAACGGAAAATTATAACGTTCAGAGGTCATGACCCCAGATGCAAGAAATCATTCTGAGTCGATCCAGGAAAGACACTGGTTAATTGCTGCGCTATAATAACATGGGACAATAAAACCGTTACAAAAATCTTTA